TGAATTCCTTCAGCCTATTTATGTCATGGAAGATTTTTCTTTCCCCTTAGACTATAATAGACATTTTGGCTGGGTATAGTAATCTGGGTTGGCATCTGTGGTCATTTAAAACTGGGAATACTTTGGTCCAGGCTCTTCTGGCTTTCATAGTTTGCCTTGAAAAGTCAGCTGTGATCCTAATGGGTTTTCCTTTGTATGTGACTTGTTCTCTTTTGCAGCTTTCAGTATTCCCTCCTTGTTTTGTATGTTTAGTGTTTTTACTATGCTGTGCTGTGGAGAGTTTTTCTGATCCTGTCTGTTCGGTGTTCTATATGCTTCTTGTATTTGTATGGGCATGTCTTTCTTTAATTTGGGGAAATTTTCTTCCACAATTCTAAGATCTGGTCCATGCCATTATCTTGGGTTTCTTCTCCTTCCTGTATGCCTATGATTTGTAAGTTTGGTCTTTTTATGGTGTCACACAATTCCTGCATATTCCATTCTTGTGATTTCTTAAATTTTTCATAATTTTTGCTTAAGTGGGCTAGTTCGTCCACTTTATCTTCCAGTCTTGATACTCTGTTTTCCATTTCATTCATCCTATTGGTGAGGCTTTCTCCTGTCGTTTCTAATTGGCTTACTGAGTGTTTCACTTCCTTCTTCATTTCAACCTGAGTATTCTTCAATATTTCTAACTCTTTTCTGAATTCATTCAGAAGTTTATCCGTATCTTCCTTCAATTCTTGGTTTCTTTGTGTCTTCTTTAAATTCACTGAATTCTTTTGTCATGTTTATACTTGTTCTTTTGAGTCCTGCATTATCTCTTGGGGCTTCTCATTGTACTCCTCTAGAGGACTATTGGTATTTGGTAGAGATATAATAGTTTGGTTTTTCAAGTTATTATTTTTTTCTGTGACTTTGACATGTGAATTTCTTTCATAGTTTATGATTCTTGTGTGAGACTCAAGCCTTCCTTTGTTGATTTTAGATCTGCTTCTCTTTGTAAACTTAATGTGCCTTTGTGGTTTACTTGTTGGGCATGAAAAGCTGGTTCATCTATGCTTCAGGTTCTCTCTTTTGATTTTATATTGGAGTGGCCTAATTGCTTTTGTCTTCAGGAGTTCCCACAGAGGCCCAAGTCAGATGAAGACCAGATGCTCTCAGGCTTTCTCCTAAGGTCTGATCCCCTTGGACTGGCCTGGGAGGCGGCCCAGGAAAAACGCTGATCTAGGGCAGCTGGCGGCTGTCCCACCCAGAGATGCCAAGGAAGATGGGAGGTAGGAAGCGGCCCCAAGGGCTCCTGGGGACTGCACTGAGGAGCTGGATTGGTCTGGATGCAAAGGATCAGGAAGAGGAAAGGTCAGCCCCAGTGTCCAGGAAAGAGGCTGGTGGGTCTTGCAGGCCCAGGGAAGTAGAGGGAGGTGAGGGCAGGGCCAGGCCCAGAGTGCTCCTGAGGGACCTGAGAAGGAACTGAGTTAGTCTGGATGCAAAGGATCAGGAAGCAGTGGTGGTTCCCCAGGTGTCTGGGGCACCAAGAGAAGGAATGGGACAGGATCCAGGCTAGGAGGAGAGACCCTCTGAGGAGATGGGTGGGTGAATGAGGCTGGGGGAGTCAAAGCATGGAGGGCACGATCAACTTACCCTGGAGAGAGAGGCCTTAAATTCCTTTTTTAAAAACTTTTTTTCTTTTTTTTTTTTTGGCAAAGTGGCTCACGCCCTTGATCCCAGCACTCGGGAGGCAGAGGCAGGCAGATCTCTGTGAGTTCAAGCCAGTATGGTCTACATAGTGAGTTCCAGGACCGCTGGGGTACAGGGAGACCCTGTCTCAAAAAGACCAAAAAAAATTTTTTAAATAATGTATATGAGTGTATTGCCTGCATGCATGTAAGGTGCATCCATGTCATGCAGTGCCCTTGGAGGTCATAAGAGGGCATTGATCCCCTAGAACTGGCCTTATGGATGGTAATGACAGCCTGACCTGGTGATGAAGAGCCATAATTCTAGCTGAGGCAGGAGGATAACAAGTTCAAGCCTACCTGTGCTGCAGAGTGACTTCAAGGCTAGCCTGGGCAACTGAGTGAGACCCTGTCTCCAAAATGTACAGAAGGGACTGGGGAAGTTGCCCAGTGGTGGGCACCTGTCTTGCGTGTGCAAGGTCCAGGATACCATCCCCAGTACCATGGTGAAGGAAGAAAAAGAGCCTAGAAAATTCTGCTTAGTAGTTGTGTGTTTCATTTCTTCCTGTCCTGCCTTTCAGTCTATCTACCAGTTTCTTTCTTACACATTCTGATGTTTTCTATTTACAGATTCAACTTGTTTCCCTAAACTACTTGGGAGCAACTCACAGGAAAGGGAAAGTACAACAGTGTATCAACAGCGGAAGCATTCACTGAGTGCATCACCCAGTTACTGTTGCAAATACGCTACATAAAATATCTCATTTAATTTAACATAATTTATTATGACCTTACTAACAGTTGTTTTGTTATTCCCAATTTATAAATAAAGCTAAAACCACAGCAAAGGGCATTGGTGATTGATAGCATTTCCTTGCATTCTGTCATGGTAAAAAGGGGTGAAGTTTCTTTCTAGGACTTTTAAGATCACTTCTCCCATTAATGGAGGCTCTGTTCTTATAACCTAATTATTTTCCAAAAGAATCCGGCTCCTAAATCTTGCACTTAGGGTTTGAGGTTTTTTTAATATTTTTTTATTTATTTTTATTTTATGTGTATGCACATATTGCCTGCTTGTAGGTAAGTGCAGAGCTGGGACATGAACATTCAGACCCTGAGGGAAAGTAGTCAAAATCATTTGTCCCAGTGCCTGCAGCTCTTATTCAGGTATCATGGCCTGAGTTCTACAACCTTTCATCACCAGGCCCTAGAAAATGGGATGCCATTATTTGCAGTGCTAAGCCTAAAGATGAGGACATGAGAGGCATTGGCAAGCTGGGCCTTCAGCTTCTGTTTCTAAACAAAAGGCAAGTGTGTGACTCTTGTTCATGTCATTGTTGAGTGTTTAGGAAAAAACCAATGTCAATTTCATAACTCATGCCACTCGTATCTGTGTATAACCCACGATGTTAGCATCTGTATTTCTCAATCTTGTAGCCATCCTTTGTTTCATGAATCTGATTGGAAAGGACAACCTTGCTTAGAAGCCTGGGGCATCCACTCTGGAATTAACGGGTTGTAACATAATTTACCCAGGACTGAAGGTTGTGTTGAGAGACAGGCATAAAAATCTTGGCTGTTTTCCCCAGGAGACCTGTCCATTTCCAACAGTGACATAGTAATGATCTCGCAAAGGCCATGCCGTGGAATTTGGGAGTATCAGTTCCTGAGCTGTCTAGTGCCTGCAGCTGCCCTGATGGCATTTCCTCCTCTTCTTTCTCTTCCAGTCCCAGCAGAAGTGCATCGTGGTCTTTGCCCTGGTCTGCTGTTTTGCCATTCTGGTCGCACTGATATTTTCAGCTGTGGACATCATGGGAGAGGATGAGGATGGACTATCTGAAAAAAATTGTCAAAATAAATGTCGGTAAGAGGTAACAAGCAAACATTCTCTTTTGGGGGGGGGGGGGCAAGAAAGTAAAAGAAGGTCCTGGACAGTGAAGAGAAAAAGATCCTAAAGGCTAGAACACATCTGCCTTCCCCAGGGTTAACCTGAGCCTCTCCCTCCCTCCACAGAAGCACTTGTTTTTTAGACCAGGCGGTAAGTATGTAATGATTTAATTCAGTTTAGAACTTGGCCCTATGATATACAGAGAGGTGGACGACCAAATGAAATCTTTGAACAGTCTACATTCCCGGAGACTTATGTATATGTTGTTTTGAGCCATTCTCTAATAAAGCCTGGCAGAAGCAAGTACCCCATTGGATAGGGAACATGTTGCAAGTGGGTTTATCAAGTAGCTGTTAGCACACGTTTCCCCTGATCCTTCATGTCAGGAAAGAACAGAAGCCCCCCTCCCCCAATCAGCCACAATTTAACACACAGTTGTTGGTTTATAAATCTAGATGTTACAACAACTTTACCAATCACTTTATGTACAATCATGGGTCACATCATGATATTTCAGTCATGATGGAACTCATATATTAGGGGTCCCGGAAGATGTACTATGTATTTGAAGATATGCAAATATTCTGTGATGGTTACATGGTGATGAAATCAATGAAGGATGCATTTGTCAGAACATGTCTTCATCCTTACACAACACAAAACTGTGTGTTGTACATCTTCAGTTACACTGAATAACATCTCCCTGGGATCATTCCTTACTGGCAGAGCCATCATGGTATGATTTCAGGCCTGTGACTCTCCTCTTCCACTCTTCCCTGAGCTGTGACTTTTTAAAAAATTACATTTTGTGTGTGTGTGTTTGTGTGTGTATGTGTGTGTGCAAGAGTGTATATGTGTAGATACATGTATCAGGGCGTTTGAGTGGAGGTCAGAGGACAACCCTTAAGAGCTGGTTCTCGCCTTCCACCATGTGGGTGTCCCAGGGCTCAAACTCAGGTCAACAGGCTCTACACCAAGTACCTTTGTCACAGAACCATCTCACCAGCCCTGCTATTTTTTTTAGGTTGAGAAATTATGTAGAAAAGTGCCAAGAAGAGGTAGATAGACAAGTGGCCTATTTTTACATAAACATGCAAAGTTGAACTGAGGCCACAAAATTCTGATGGCAGTTATGAAGTAGAGCTTATGATGAATTTAAATTGTAATTTTTCTCTGTGTCCATCTTTTCTGGCTTAATACCAAAAACAACCTGGTAATGGGTATGCATATTTTATCCTGGATATTCTGCCTTGAAGTTTAATGTTCTACATAAGAAATGTCATGGGAAAAAATGGGGTTTTTTGTTTGTTTTGTTTTTTGATTTTTACACCTGTGATCCTTTGCAATCTTGTCACCAGGTAATTGGTATTATATACATGGCAGTGTATTCAAGAAAGAAATCAGCATTCATTTTGGATTTTATCCTTCATATTAGGAAAGTCTTTGTTCATTTGATGTGTTTACTTATCAGACTGAGTCTAGGAGAGAAATTATACTGAGATAATCATAAGGAAAGCTATAATAGGACACCAGCAAGCACATCACTGTCGTCTTCAACAGATGCTGTTTACCACACATCAAATCTCAATGCTCGTGGACAAGAGGCCAGGGACCAGAGTCTCATATTTATTGCATAGAAATACTCTTTGATCTCACTCTGTAGTGAAGACTGCTTCATGCTTTAAATGCAAAGCCCACAGTACTTAGAAAGCAATTTTACACCAGCCAAACCATGAAAAACCAAGGAAGCTGGAAGTTACTCATTAAATTCTGGTCATTTGGGGCCAGTGTCAGTAGAAATGATTGCTTATCATCTGTATCATTACTAGAGATAGTAACCTGATTTCATACAGGTCTGGGCTGATGATTGCAGGATAGGCGTTGGTTTCTTGAGCAGGTTGCTGTAAGATGTGGCCAGAGTTTTCACTTACGGTATAGCCATTACCCCTTTACATTTTAGTCTTCAATTCCCCTGTGCTGTAAGTCCCCTCTGGACATTTGCTTGAATTTCCTGAGACAGGAACTTACATAGCTTAGACTGACCTTGTACCCCTGGTCCTCTTGCCCCCCCCCCCGCGCCAAGTTCTGGGGTTACAAGTGTGGGCTACCATGCCTGTTTGGGCGCTTCTGTTTTAAAGCTTTTGTTTACGATTTTATTTATTTTTCTTTTTTTAATCATGTTTATACATGTGTGCCCGAGTGTGAATTTGTACACTTGAGTGTAGAGGTCAAAAGAGGGTGTCAGATAGTCTGGATCTGGAGTTATGGGTTGTTGTGAACCACCTGGTATAGATCCTCTGCAAGTAGTATGCATGTTAAACCACTGAGCCATCTCTCCAGCCCCTGGCTCTTCTGTTTTATTTTTTAATTAATTTATTTAATTTGGTCTTTTTGAAACAGGGTCTCCCTCTAGCCCCAGCTGGCCTGGAACTCACTACGTAAACCAGTCTGGCCTTGAACTCACAGAGATCCACCTGCCTCTGTCTCCCAAGTTCTAGGATTAAAGGCATGCGCCACCTGCCTGGCCCTCTTCTGTTTTAATTTGCTCTACCCCTCTACCAGATTATGATGTCTGTCTCCACACTTCCTTCAGTATCAAGGGTGGCCTGTCTCGTGGAGCTTTGGCTTCAAGTATGCTATTAAGTGTTACCCTGCTTCCACCCATTTTTGACCTCCATGCCACTGTTCTAAGCCCCCATCAACTCGCAAAGAAGATTAAGTTCCACCTTCTGTAGTTCTGTGTTCTTCCGGATAGGGATGCTGCTGGTAAGGAGGAGGACACTGTTCCGTCTAAGATGTGCCCCTGAGTTCCTGGAGCTGATGCAGCTGCTCCTGGCAAGTCCTCATCAACCCCAAGTTCTATACAAATTCCAGTCCCTCCTCTTACTGCCTCCTCCCTTCCCTGCTTCAAACTTCCCAAGTTCTTCCCAGACTTGACCTCAAGATGGCGTTCATTAGATCATATGGCATTAGTCTCTCAGGGCAGTGACTTTTCCTTAGTTTTCTGAGCCTTGAACTCACTGAGATCCAGGAATGGATTTCCGTGCACTATCCACATTTTGATTCAGCCTTTCTAACGTTAAACCACATATCACGTGACCATTTGAGACAGAAAAAGGCAAAATTTCAAGTTTCTACATAACTGATAAGAAGAAAACTAATCAGAAGCAACATGCTGTGCCCCACGCAACCTTTGCTGAGATCTGGCACTTGGAAACTAAACTCCTCCTGTGTGTCTCTGCCCACACCTGAAAGTTGAAAGAACAGTGGGCATTCTTCAGCCTGTCAGCTGTCCGCACCCTACTCTGTGTTTCCACAGCCTTTTCCCAAGCTCTTTTATTCCTGTGCTGTTTTCTTGTTTGTTTGTTGTTCTTAGAGACAGTGTCTCACTATGTAGCACTGGCTGACCTGGAACTCATTATGTAGACCAGGCTAGCCTTGAAATCACAGCGCTCTACCTGCCTCTGCTTCCCAAATGCTGGGATTAAAGGCGTATGCTACTGTGCCCTGCATCCATGCTGTTTTATAAATATAGTCCTGTAATTCATCCTATTCTGCTGGCCAGTCTTTCCACCCTCTGACAGATCCTGTCTGAATCACACTGCCTACTCTGTTGCCCATTTTTATGCTTTTTTAATGTATCTTCATATTTTACCCCTTCCTACACATACACAGTCATTTCTTTAATGGCAACTTTGAGTCTGTTGGTGCCATTGGCATTTGATTGTTTCATCATCACCTGCTAGACTAAATCCAAAGTTCCAGGAGAAAAAGAACCCACTTTTTTTCTCTTGTTATGTCTTATATAGTACTCTATACATAAGGACTGTGCTTTTAATAGATAATTTTCATGTGACACGTGTGTAAATTACTGGGGTGGTTCTGTTCGTCAAGGTAGTATGTGTGACTTGAATCAGTTTTCTTTGGGTAAAATCTGAGGATTGTAAGGGGGCATATTAAAGTATAGATGATGTCACTAAAGACTACCGTGTGAAAATGAGCCATCATAAAACCACACAAGGTTCCGTGAATACTTCTTGGTGGAGGATTGATGGAGAAACAGCTTTATGACAAACCAGCCAGCATGTTGGAGGATGACAGAATTTGTCTTTCAATGACAACATTCTCCATTTCCCTAAGAGGAGAATCTTTGATAATGTGAGTTCCAGACAGATGGATGCCTCAGTTATGTGGTAATTCAGAAAGTCGCCCCTTCTGGAATGGGGCCACATGCATCGCCTGCCATTCATATGGATCAACAAGAATTGGGTCCAGTGAATCCCAAGAAGAACTCAAATGAGGAAAGTTTCTGTGTTGATTAAAGTAACCGGTGCCTGTCAGTGTGTCTGACAAGCCCCTCTCCTCCAGATGACCTTCTTAACTTGGGAGCAGGGACAAAAGGTATGCTCAGGAGGGAGCGGGGATCTGTGCATTCCTAGCTAACTTCAGGGTGCAGCAGATCTACCTAAGACAGACTTCAGTGGGAGCTAATCCTTAAGACAGAGCTGGCAGAATAAAGTAAGAACTTCTGAGAGCTGTGATTGAGATGGAAGCAGGGAAGGAGCAAGGTGAGGGGGGACCTGTGTGCTTTCAAGGAAAAGAAACTTCTGGAGGAATTGTTAAAATGCAATTGAATCTAAGGCTTTAAATTTTTCTGACTGGCATTGAGTGAATAGCTTTTAATAATTAGAAGCAGGAGATGAAAGCTTGATTCTAATGAAGAAAAAGAGACTTCAGTCAAGCTCTGAACTTGACTTTCATATATAATGGCACATATTAACATTTCTATTTCACCATTGAGCCCAATCAAAATCATATTTCCTAAGTTATGAGAGATTTTATTAGCACTCATACCCAGAAAATGATGTTTCTATCCCTGCAGCTAAAAGTTTGAGAGATTATTTTAAAATAATTTATCTTTAACATGTAATGCTTAAAAGAGGAAATCTGGGAGAGTGTGATACTTCCTGATGGTC